AGGGCGTTCGCCGTCGTCTTCAGGACCTTCGGCACAGACCTGCCCCGCGCCCTCCGGGCCGTCAGCTGCGCCCTGGCCGGGCAGCACCCCCAGTTCCCCGCCCTGCGGGATGTGGCGGTGAGCGACACCCCCGGGGCCTGGGGTGCTGGAGAAGGGCAGCTGGACGGCCTGCGTGCAGCCCCCCACATCAGGCTGCTCTCCGGCCACTTGGCCATCCTGCTTTTGAAAGCACCAGCTTCTGCGGAGAGGAAATGCAGCCGGCTTCTGGGGAAGAAGCTGTTAGCCACGGGAAAGCACATGTGCATGCAGATCTTGGGTGGGAAAGGTCTCCTCTCAGGGTATCCTGGGTCAGAGCGAGCATCCCTTCTCCTGGAGAGGGGCCGCTCGCTGCAGCAGAGTGGGGCTCCCTGGCCATCCTGCTTTTGAAAGCACCAGCTTCTGCGGAGAGGAAATGCAGCCGGCTTCTGGGGAAGAAGCTGTTAGCCACGGGAAAGCACATGTGCATGCAGATCTTGGGTGGGAAAGGTCTCCTCTCAGGGTATCCTGGGTCAGAGCGAGCATCCCTTCTCCTGGAGAGGGGCCGCTCGCTGCAGCAGAGTGGGGCTCCCTGGCTCAGAGCCGATTGCAGCCATGCTCTGCTCCTGGCAGCGCTCCAGGCAAGAACACTGGGAATGAGCTTCAGAAGCTGCTTTGGATGTTTCCCGGAGCGTTGACAGGGAACAGAGATTGAAACCGGGGCAGTGTGCAGCTAGGACATCATTCATTTCCATCCCTGGGTAGGGGATGATTTTTGGGTTGGGGGGAGCGGGCTCCACACCTCTTGTCTTCTCCCCAGCGCTGTCCTCCCATGCTGTGGTGGTAGGGCATCTCCACCCTGCCGTTTGTTTTCTCTGCCACTGCATGGAACAACCTGTCTGCTTTGGAAACCTTTCCTCTCCTGTTTTCTGTCATCCTGCAGCTCCCTGTGGACCTCACCCCCGGCCAGATACGCTGCAGCAAGCAAGAGGTGGTGCTGACAAGGGGAGCAGAGCGACTGGCCACCCAGGAAGACGGAAGAAAGCTTTACAACTACTTCAGCTCTTTGGAGGGAATTGGAGGCTTCCAAGACCACTTTGACTGGTGAGAAACACAGCACCAAGGAAGTGGATTGGGCATTTTCTCCTATCCTGTGATCCTCCAAGCTTTTCCCTGTCTGGGATAGCTCCTGCTTTTGGGATCTTTTCCTTGTTTTGCCTGTGGGCAGCCTGATGGGGCTCTTGCATCTTTCCTCAGATCTCCATCCCCTGGTGTACCTCCCGCTTTTCTCCAAACACCCCCCAATCTGCCACCTCACTGCAGATTGCTTCTTTCATGGGAGGCAGCAGCAGACAGAGGGACGGGACAGGCTCTGTCCCACTTCCCTGGCTCGGAGGGCTGCCCTGGGCCCGCAGTGCAGCCTTGTCCGCCCTTACCGGAGAGCTGTCGCCCTGCCCCTCCCCTGACTGCTCCTTGTCCTGCTTGCCATTTCAGGTGGGCCAGAAATAATTTCTCTTCCCGGGGTGGGAAGCCCCTGTGGATTGACCCCCACGATCCTGGCGTTCACCACATCTTCATCGATGACAACATCCGGCTGGATGATGCGGACACCATTGTTCACCCTCAGGTAGGCGGCTGAAGGCCCCTCCGGTGCCAGCTGCCTGTGCCGGCGGATGTCCCCGGTGAGGTCAGGCATGTTTTGGCCCCTTCGTGTGAGCCTGCAAAGGGCGATCGAGGCATAGCCCTGGTGTCACTGCACCCCATGCCACTGGCATCAGGCTGCCCATGGGGAGGGTGAGATCAGCCGTCAGCGGAGAACAGCAGGTGCTGGCTGCCTGCGCTTGCTGCCCAGCACCTCTGCTCCACCAGGGTGAGTCAGCCCCATTCCCGGCAGCAGTGGCGATGGCGGCAGGCCAGGCAGCCTCGGCGCGTGGCCACGGCTCGTCTGTGGCACCAAATTGAAAGGGCAGCATTTGTGGTGGAAGCACTTTTGGGAAAGGGAACGTTTATGCAGACAGAAATGTGCCTGGCAGTTGGACAACTGTTGATGCACGAACAAGAGCTGCAGCTCCATGGGCAAGCCTCCCATTTATGTCCAGGAGAAGACGGCACGGGGCAGGGGAACCTGCGGCAGGCGGTGGAGTGTCGGGCACATTTGCCCGGCGCGAGGGATGGGATGCTGGTCGGATATTCCCTTCTATACAAGCTCTCTCAGCTCGTAGCTGGTGGCAGGAGTCGTGGCTGCCCAGAGCAGGCCTGTCGGGAATAGGCTTCGGTCTGTGCCATGCCTGATTCAAGTGAATTAATGCGGACAGCTCTGCTGAGACCCCGAGGCCCCCATGCGCAGCAGCTGCTACAGCAGCTGGAGAGTGGCTCACGCAGCCCCACTTGCTGCATTTCAGCCTCGGGCTGTTTCCCTGATCAAGGAGCTCTTCCTTTCACCATCTGCAGCCGGCACAGCTGGTCGGTTGGGCTGCTCGGCTTGTCTCAGGGCAGCTGTGCAGCCAGCCCTGGGGCTCCCCCCCACTGGATCGAGCAGGTAGGATCAAGTTGTGGTGGCGGTGACAAACCTCTCTGGGGCCTGGGCAGCAGCCAAGCATCTCACCAGCAGGGCTCGTCCCCGCTGCTGGGACTTTGCTGTCCTGCAGCCAGGGTCGGTAGGTTGGACGCCAGCTTCTCCTCCTCTTGTGTCACCAGCTCTGTAGGGCTGTCCCTGTGTCAGTGACAGTGACAGAGCAGCACTGGGAGGGAAACAGTTTTCCAGGTGGCCTTAAGCAGCCCCACGGTTAAGATCAGAAGGTGAAGTCCTTGTTACCTCCTGTGCGACAGGCTGTGGCAGCCAAAGGAAGAGCTGTTGGCAGAGGTTTTCCTGGGGTTGGCTGCTCCGCAGAGCCATTTTCTTCCCCCTCCTGGTGTGGCCCATTCCTTAGGGGAGGCCCAGCCACGTGTGTGGCAAGCTGGTTCAGAGCCAAAAGGGCCTTGTGGGAAGTAGGGGAAATGTAGAGAAACTTCACCTTCTACCCCTGGAGCAGAGATGGGAGCCCCTGCCCTCTGCTGCCGACCCAGAGCCAGCGTGAAGGGCCTGGCCGAGGAGGGCAGGGTACACTGCAGCGTGCATGTGCTGCTGTCAGGCTCTGCCGTCCTGCCAGGCACGGCCCTGGCACTGCTGCCAGCGGAGGGTGCGAGTGCTTCTGTGCGCTTCTCATTCCCTGCAGGTGTTTTCGGAGCCAGGCAGCAGCAGCCCCAGGTGCGCTCCCACCTCAGAACTGTACGACATTTGCCTGGTGCAGACCGATCTGCTGGAGGCCATCGCTGATGAGGACTATTTCCTGCGCTGCGTGAGGAGGTGTGAAGAGAACTATGACCGCTACCTGGCCTGCATGGAGAAGGACAGCCTGAGCGAGCGGTGGGATGGACAGTGATGCCACCTCGTGGGGCCGAGGGGTCTGGACTGGGACACCTCCTGCTCCTGCTGCCTGCAGGCCAAGCCCCAGGCTGGGTTTCTGCTTCAAGCTGTCCCCTCTCCAATGTGTGATGTGCCCGCTTGGTCCTGCCAGGAACCTCCATGCCTGAGCACAAGCATCCTGGGAGCTTGTGTGACAGGATCCCTGGAGGAAATGGCTTTCCATTCCTTGATAGTGCTGTGGGCAGCTGCCTGCCTGGCTGGCAGGGCAGGGGCAATGCAAGCAGCCACACTAGAGTTCACACCTCCCTCCCCGCACCGATGGCTGGTGCGGAGCGGGTGCCGGGGTAAGCACAGAATGCCGTGTGCACTGCCGTGTTCTCCCTGGCAGCGCTAGCGATGCTGCATCACTTCTGCCTGTTTTTAAAGCTATACTTTTCTACCCCGTTTCTGATGTGAGTTTCCTGCCTGCCCTCGGCTCTGCTGGTGCCGTTGGGTGGGAAGCGCCTTTTCCAGCAGGTTCAGTCACAGGGCTCAGCCAAGTGAGGATGGAGGTGACAGCAGTGGGTTTGGTACCCACGGGCACCTTCCTGAGGCTGCTGAGGGACCCCGGCAAGGTTGTGCTCAGTGTGGGGCCGAGCTCACCCCATGTTGGTGACCGACTGGGGCTCCTCCTCAGGGCACGACGACAGCTTCTCCGCTCCGTGAGCCCGGTGCTGGGCAGTGGGGAGCCGGAGGTCTCTCCAGCTGCTTTTCCTGCGGCGGGGTGAGCAGGGTAAGGGCGCAGCGGGCTGGCAGCGGCACCAAGGGCCCCGGGAGGGCCGGGCAGA